CTCGGAAAGATATTGTGTCCAATTTCGTCTAATAAATTTAGTTTAACAAATATCTACGTACCGATTGTCGCAAGACAATATTTCTGACCAGAAATAATTAAATACGCCCGCAGGAAACAGATATTCCTAGCCAATGTTTAGTTATAAGAATTCTGTAGAAGACGATTTCTTGGAGTTTATTTTTATTTTGCCTTATCCCAGAGAAGGAATCTGTTGCTATTCGACCGCAAGTTTAACACACACACACACACACACACACACACACACACAGAGAGAGAGAGAGAGAGAGAGAGAGAGAACCCAATACCCACTACTCTAATCTAATCTATCTATTTAGCATCTATATCTCTATATATGGTAGTGTGCACTTCTCTTTTTCTCTTTCTCTTTCTCTTTCTCTCTCTCTCTCCCTCTCTCTTTCTCTCTGTCTCACTAGGACATTATCTGTCGGTGACTCGTTCTTGTTTCGCATTGACAATATCTAAATATATAACTCCTTGCAGCCTGGGTTATCGAGGAGGGTCGGCTGGAAAGTCCATAGTCTGACCAAGATATAAATGCAAGTAGGCACACTAATTGGTAAACTAAAATATATGCAAGTGTACCAGATAACAACAACTATCCTGATCTATCTATCTATCTATCTATCTATCTATCTATCTATCTATCTATCTATCTATCTATCTATCTATCTATCCCAGTCTGTTCAGATCTATCTATCTATCTATCTATCTATCTATCTATCTATCTATCTATCTATCTGTTATACCAGAACATTACCTATTCTATTGTAATAGACTCCCCCACACATAATAAGTAGTAGTAGTAGTAGCGGTCGCCAATTGGGCTCAGTGGAGTTGAGTCAGTCAGTCGATGTCGGACATTAAATTATCAACAACACCAAATAGATTGCTGCGTCATTAACTATTATTTTCAAGTTCCTAACGTTTTGTACGTCGGACCCTTTTAGGACCGACTTAGCGAAATTTAAACCTCCACTGTGAAAACTACTCTACAACACTATCTATCTATCTATCTATCTATCTATCTATCTATCTTTTAATCATTTCACTCAAATCAAGGCGATAATGCTACTAAGACGCAAGACCTTAGTGAGTGTGAAAGAATCAAATAAAAAAAAATCATATTAAGGGGAGAGTTTGATAAAAGAAGGTGGAAGTGATTTTCTCAAACGAGGACATCAAGTGAAGAAAATGTTAACGCTGAGGTTTCGGTTTCGTCCAGCAATTTCAAATATAAAATAGAATGTCCTAGTTGCCAATCAAGTAGTGCTCTTAAATTCGTAAAGTCGACAGTTCGTAACGAGGAGAGGTCATTAGAACAATTAACCTGAAAATATTCATAGAAAAACGAATCAGTCTACGGTGTTGGGAATGTGACTGGATTTTGGCAAGTATCTCTAAATACGTAACAGATATGAAAAGAATATTCAATCCATGGATGAATGATAGACCCATAAATGTTTAATCTGCCGAGAAAAATTGTCTAGCATGATACATGGAACCAACATTACGTGCAGCTGTCCGAGCAACGGATTTAATAAAAACCTTCAACTTCATGTCAGTATAAAACTCTAGCCGGAATTGTGGAGGTTTGTATCAGCTATGTTGATGGAAAGGGGGAAAATAGGTTCCCTTTAAGACGATTAAAACAGAGATGTTTCGTTTTGGTGGCGTTAAAATGTACAAATCATTTCTTGCCCCAGTTAAAAACAGATGATCATTTTTAGACCATCTGCCAATTATAAACTAGTGCATATCTATCTATCTATCTATCTATCTATCTATCTATCTATCTATCTATCTCAGTCTGTTCAGATCTATCTATCTATCTATCTATCTATCTATCTATCTATCTATCTATCTATCTATCTATCTATCTCAGTCTGTTCAGATCTATCTATCTATCTATCTATCTATCTATCTATCTCAGTCTGTTCAGATCTATCTATCTATCTATCTATCTATCTATCTATCTATCTATCTATCTATCTATCTCAGTCTATTCAGATCTATCTATCCATCTATCTATCTATCTATCTATCCATCCATCTGTTCAGATCTATCTATCTATCATATCTATCTATCTATCTATCTATCTCAGTCTGTTCTGATCTATCTATCTATCTATCTATCTATCTATCTATCTATCTCAGTCTGTTCAGATCGATCTATCTATCTATCTATCTATCTATCTATCTATCTATCTATCTATCTCAGATCCATTCATCCATCTATCATATCTATCTATCTATCTATCTATCTATCTATCTATCTCAGTCTGTTCAGATCTATCTATCTATCTATCTATCTATCTATCTATCTATCTATCTATCTATCTCAGTCTGTTCAGATCTATTCATCTATCTATCTATCTATCTATCTATCTATCTATCTCAGTCTGTTCAGATCTATCTATCTATCTATCTATCTATCTATCTATCCATCTATCTATCTATCTATCTATCTGTTCAGATCTC